TGACAAGAATGGACAGGATCAGGAATGAGGTCAATAGAGGAACAACACAGACACTCTTAAGGTTTGGAGAAAAAGCCAGACAAGCCAGATTGAGATGGTTTGGACATGTGCAGAGGAGGGACAGTGGATACATTGGTAGAAGAATGTTAGAGATGGAGCTACCAGGTAGGAGAAAAAGAGGAAAGCCAAAGAGGAGATATATGGATGCAGTGAGATAGTTGCAGATGATGATGCAGATAGTTGGAGTCAGAGTAGAAGATGCAGAGAACAGGGCAATATGGAAATCAATGATTCTCTGTGACAACCCCTGAAAATAGGACAAAGCCGAAAGAAAAAGAAGAATTATGTCACGATGAGCTATTGACATGGCAGGAAGCAGGCAGCGTAGTTAGACAGCAACTAGAAGAGAACCTAGAGAGGTGGAGGTTTGCACTAGAGAGAAGAAGAATAAAGGTCAGTCATAGCAAGACAGAGTACATGTGTTGTAAACGAAAGTGAGAACAGTGAAATGGTGAGATTACAGGGTGTAGAAGTGGTGAAGGTGCAGGAGTTTAAGTACTTAGGATCAGAGGTGGCAGAGTTAAAGATGCTAAGATTCTCTTTAGGATTGACAAGAATGGACAGGATCAGGAATGAGGTCAATAGAGGAACAACACAGACACTCTTAAGGTTTGGAGAAAAAGCCAGACAAGCCAGATTGAGATGGTTTGGACATGTGCAGAGGAGGGACAGTGGATACATTGGTAGAAGAATGTTAGAGATGGAGCTACCAGGTAGGAGAAAAAGAGGAAAGCCAAAGAGGAGATATATGGATGCAGTGAGATAGTTGCAGATGATGATGCAGATAGTTGGAGTCAGAGTAGAAGATGCAGAGAACAGGGCAATATGGAAATCAATGATTCTCTGTGACAACCCCTGAAAATAGGACAAAGCCGAAAGAAAAAGAAGAATTATGTCACGATGAGCTATTGACATGGCAGGAAGCAGGCAGGACCCAAATGCAGGACTGGTGCAGGTAGTTTATTTCAAAATTCACAAAATTCACTTCCAAAGACCAGGATAGAAGCATACGCAGAGCCGAGCAGAGCTGAGAACAGGAACAGAGCTGAGCACAGTAACAGACTTGACTAGCAACAGACACGACACAACACAACACGACGATCCCACCAGGCCAGAGTGAAGGAGAGAGGTATATATACAAATAGCACCAGGTGACACAAGTGAGACTAATTACAGAGACACAGATGAGTGATAACACAGATTACCCTACACAGCAGGAACAGGAAACAGACAGACCTGTGTGGATAAAATATATTCATGTGTTCATAGTTTATAGAAGTATGCAACATATATAATCATGTTTTAAAAAGATCATAAGAGATGTGCTAAAACATATAACCAGCTTGAACATAAAATGCTGATTAAAGCTAGAACTGAAAACATGCAGATGTAGAGAAGGAGCTGCGAGGTTGAGATAAAACCAAGGTTGGTTGTGAAAAGAGGAGTACTTGGTGTGATGGGAAACAGAAACTTTTAGAATACAATTTGACAATGGCTGGATTCATAGTTAGAACACAAGGTCCCAACAACAGCACCTGGGCGCGATAAGAACAGGATGAGAAACTAACGGTGTAGATGCAGTTGCCAAAAAGAATGTATGACTGTGTGTAGAACAAATGAAGTCTGTATTGCTTGATATGTACCACCCAGGGGTATGTGTGTCAATAAAACGAGCCTGGGTTTGTGGAGAGAGCAGAATTCAGCAGTCAACCCCCTGACTCTCCGCTGGACCCTCCCTGTGCACAGGCGAACTCGAGCAACGACTTTTGTCTTTTCTTTATACTTTGTGAAAGTTCTTGATCAACGAATCCGGGGTGGTAAAACCTTACCACAACACCTGACAGAATTAGTCCACATTTCAGGTTAGCATTTCTAAGTTTCTAATTAGCACTGTTGCCCAGTAGTTAGAACTACACTTTGGTACAGGGTCAACTTTTGGGTAAACTCTGTTTTCATAACAATACCTTAAAAAACAAGCAAACAAACAAACAAAAACAACAACAAAACCATTACACTAAAAATGAGAAACTACAGAAGAACAAGTAGAATCCCCCCCAAGTTTGTGGAAGATAAAACAAATTGTATAAATATATAGCACGGACGGTTTAACATAAGATTCTATGAAAGGCAACTGATTAGTCAGAATATTTATCCCTCCATCCATTTTCATCCGCTACCGGCGATAAGCGGTAACGGATAAGCGTCCTAGCCGGGATTTTGATTTTGCCCAGCAGGTGAACCCTGGGGTTCCACACCAATGACAGCGACATTGCCTCTGGGCCAAAGCGCCGCTACTCAGAATATTACAAATGCCTTTTTAACATCATTTGGTGGAGATGCACAACGGCGCACCTGCTGAATTATACTCAGCTGTGGAAGGAGGAGGAAAGACGTAGCTCACGTTCAGGGCCCGACGGTGAAACGCGGAAGAGACGCAAGAGGAAACGAGTGTCCACGTCACTGACGGGGGGGTGTCATAGTGGTTTCACAGTCACAGCAGCCGTGTTACCTTTCGCCGACAACCTTGTGTCTTGAGGTGAAAAGAACAGCACGTATGAACTCGGAGGAAGGACACATCCAGCCGTTCCTGCTCTGAGCCGCGGCCTCGGTCGGTGGACAATCACCGGATTCAGCTCAAGGTAACGGTAGCGTGTGTTTGTCCGCAGCTTGTTAGCCTGCTCCGGCTGGAGCTCACAGAACAGGACGCTATTTCCAATGTTGTTTTTATTTGCACATATGTCGCAGTGTCTGTCGTCGAAACAGCAGCGATAACGTCAATGTTGTCACCGTTAGCTGGTATGCAGGTTAAACTGCTAAACTGACTGGACTGAACTTGTGTTCGGTTGGACAGTTGTTGTCCCGCCGCCGCTCTTACATTTACATTCCTTGTTGTAGCTGCTGTATAACCTGTTAATAGTCGATAGTAGTCGGTTTATTTGTGCACAGAGTTAAAAGCAGTCGAGCCCGCCGTCAAACTGCCGTTCATACTGTCAGTACTCACTAATATCAGTCCAAGGCCCAGTGATTGTTGTGATTGTGATGCTGTAACGTGTTGTCACATCCTCTCACTACCATACCACAGTGGAAACAGTGTGTTATGGTAGTGTGTGTGTGTGTGTGTGTGTAAGAAAGAGAGAGAGAGACAGACAGACAGAGTGGTTGAACGTTAGAGGCGTCTCTACCGATAAATTGCTCATGGAATTATAAATACTCTTAAGATGTCAACTTTTAGATTTCCTCCAGCCATATTGTTGTAAACAACTGTTTTTCTTAGTTCAATAACTACATTAGTTACTATAGTTGCTGCCATTGTAGTTACTGACTTGCAGTATAACTGTGTAAACAAAGCTGGGACAGTATTCATAAATCTGATGCACAGTTTAAATCAGAGGTCAACTCCAGTTCCTTTCATCATCATTGTAGTTTTAATCCATCAGAACTTATTGCACTATTTGCTGGATCTGACTTGACGCTTCTTGCTTGACCGCAGCTAGTTCAAAACAGCAACCGTAATCCAATTTTAGTGTCACTTCATTGTTTCAGGATCATTTTAGGATAGCATTTGAATTTATACACTGCCTGGCCAAAAAAAGTCGCCACCTGGATTTAGCTAAGCAAATAGGTACAAGCCTCCTGTTGGATAATTACTGCATGGATGATTATCTTTCAGCTGGAAACAAGTTATTTAACCCCAACTGGTGCAATAAGTTGCTTCTCAATTCTTAAACAACCATGTCGAAAGACACATCCCGTGGTCGTGGAAAAGATGTTACTCTGTTTGAGAAGGGTCAAATCATTGGCATGCATCAGGCAGAGAAAACATCTAAGGAGATTGCAGAAACTACTAAAATTGTGTTAAGAACCGTCCAACGCATTATTAAAAACTGGAAGGATAGTGGGGACCCATCGTGATGGGCGCATCAGGGTAAGAAGAGAGGCAGATAAAGTGATGCACCATCATGCCTAGTGCCTACTGTACAAGCCTGTGGGGGCAGTGCTATGATCTGGGGTTGCTGCAGTTGGTCAGGTCTAGGTTCAGCAACAGTTGTACACAAAGAATCAGGTCAGCTGATGACTTGAATATACGGAATGACCAGGTAATTCCATCAATGGATTTTTTCTTCCCTGATGGCACGGGCATATTCCAAGATGACAATGCCAGGATTCATCGGGCTCAAATTGTGAAAGACTGGTTCAGGGAGCATGAGACATCATTTTCACACATGGATTAGCCACCACAGAGTCCAGACCTTAACCCCATTGAGAATCTTTGGGATGGGCTAGAGAAGGCTTTGCGCAGCGGTCAGACTCTACCATCATCAATGCAAGATCTTGGTGAAAAATTAATGCAACACTGGATGGAAATAAATCTTGTGACATTGCAGAAGCTTATCGAATCAATGCCACAGCGAATGCGTGCTGTAATCAAAGCTAAAGGCGGTCCAACGAAATATTAGAGTGTATGACCCTTTTTTTTGGTGGCGACTTTTGTTTTTGGCCAGGCAGTGTATTATTTGTTTTTAAATGTCTTCATGGTCTTACAGTATTTGTCCGACCTATTCTAGCCCTATGACCCCTTGTGTGCTATCAGCTCGGTAGATAATAATAATAATAGTAATAATTTGAACTTAATTCTTTTGTTAAGAGCAGATCTGCTGCAACAACCTGCCCCATCGCCTGCACCCCTCTGGGAATCAAACCCAGGATTACCTGCTCTCTAATTCTGAGGCAGGCGTGCTACCCCATAACACTATGGAACCATTAAGGTCATTGCGGGTTGTCCCATTGACTAACATCGGGTGGGCTAAACTCAATATTTAACTTTAATGCTACAAATTTTCATTTAGATGTAGTCAACTAACCTGCAATGTGTCATATGTAATGATAAAATATATTTCCCTCTTTATAAAATATGGATTGGGCTTTTATAGTACTCCAGCAGGAGACTGTTTTATTTAACATTGTAATTCATTTTATTATTTTATTTGTTTATTTACATTATTTATTGGACTATATATATTGATTTATTGTAATATTGTTTTTATCATCATACATCATACAGACATGCTTAGTCACAATAAAATAGTAAGTATAAAGTCTGGTGTTTTGATTTTTAACTGTTTAAGTGTTTCAATCTCTGACTAGCTATAAAACTTCAATATTCATATAGAAAATAACTTTTGTTCAGCTGTGCCAGTGAAATATTTTAAATCTTGAAATAACTAAAATCTCACATGTGTAAACTTGTGTAAAACTATCTAAAACTGCAGCTTACAAACACCAGTACAGCTCAGGCCACAGCAACCACCTGACATTGCTAGTTTGTAGTGGAATGTGTGATACATGAATATGTGTACATATTCACAATGTTTATAAAAACTCCTTTTAACCTGGCTTTACAAGTGACTTTTGTTTTGCCGGTATGACAGACACTAGTAATACAACTAAACTGTGCAATTCAAGTCCTAAAATACCATGGTTTGTGTTGAATTATGTAATTGCTGACAATTACAATTGCTGGCAATAACTGCAATAGTTGAAAGCCATGACTTTAAGTTAGTCTTTCTTTAGTATTACAGGAATGTTGACAGGGCTAAATGAGCTGGCATTACTTTTTAGTTTAACTTTTAAGAAACATGGGCCTATTTTTGCATCAAAGATACGTTTAGGGCTGTGAAAACAAAATTGTCCAAAACATGTTTAAAGGGGAATTAATATATCATCCAAATATATTTGACACATATTCACTTGATCAATGCCAATAAAAATAGCTAAGAGATAATTTACAATTTAGCTCTGAAGTTGAAGTAGTTCTGCCAACATAGCAACAGTAAGTTTACATGTCATTTGAACTTTTGTCCTTAAATATTTTTGAATATTTAAATAAGGAATAAGGTTCACAAAAAGGCTGTGCATGTTAGTGGTTTCACCATGGTTCTATGACTAAGTGGAAGACTGCCAGCGGTGGTGCTAAAAGCACTAGTGGAAATGCCTTTGCATCTGCGCATTACCGAGAATCACATAAAAAAGTTGTCACCTCGTGACGTATGACATGACTGCCTACATAAGGCAACCACACACATCATTCTGGTCTCAAGATCATTCTTGCGCAATCCGAGTGACCAAAGACCCTGGCGGTCTTCCACTTAGTCATAGAACCACGGTTACATCAGTAACCAGCGTTCTATTTCCTTCGCTCTAGACTGCCAGTGGTGGTGCTGAAAGCACTAGTGGAAGACAAATACACACCTAGTCATGAGGAATCCGGAAGAGCATCGCTGCTATTTGGAAGAACAGCTGCACACAGCGCTGGCACAGACACTACATTTAGCCTGTAGTACCAGGCAAAGGTACATGTAGTAGAGCATATTGCAGCAGCACAAATGTCAGTGTGTGGCATACCCCGAAGGGCTGCCCAAGATGTTGCCAAAGCACGTGTCCAATGACAGTGAATGGGGGAGGGCACAACACATCCTGTGGATTCATAGGCATGGGTAATGACCCCCACCACCCAACGGGAGAGCCGCTGCTTTGACAGGGGCCCTCATCTAAGGGTACCACCAAAGCAAACAAACTACTGGTCAGTTGTACAAAAGGCTGCAGTCCTGTCAAAAGAGCCCTAAGCGGCCCTAAAGGGCACAATTTAGGACGTGAGTCTGTCATTTGGCTGTAAAGCAGCTAGCAAAATTGGCTGGTAACTAAACTGGGGGGACAAGACTTTTGGGAAGAAAGCTGGGTTAGGCCACAATGAGACACTATCACACATAGGGCCCCAACGTAGACAAATAGCACTCACCGAGAGAGCATGTAGCTTACTCACACGACGGGCTGTTCTGATGGCAAGAAGAAAGGCAGTTTAAAATGACAACAATATCTGTCTCGTACTGGGCACAGACGCAGTTGAATCAGCCATCTCTGAAAGGCTCTTAGCCAGAGAAGCCCCAATGGAATGACAACAGTGGCTGCTGTGATTTTTTTCCCAACAGCCGAAAGAGAGAGACATAACTTTGAGGGCCCCCAACACGAAGGTGGCTCACTCCTGTTATAATTGAACGTATTCTGTCTGGTGTGGGGCAGGCCAGCATGGTGTTTGAGTTCAGGGTAAGGCCAATGAAATTAGTTGCTTGAACTGGTGTCAGTCTGCTTTTTTTTCTGGTTGACTCTGAACCCCAGAGCCGTAACGTGTAGCAGCAGTTGGTGTGCATGGTTCCTGGCCTGTTCAGGCGACTCCGCACAAAAAAGCCAGTCGTCCAACTAAGGGAGCACTCTTATGCCCTGTGGTTATAGTGCAACCTGAACACACTTGGAGAAGACCCTTGGTGCCAGCGACAGGCCAAAGGGGAGAACTCTGAACTGGCAAACTATCCCCATGAGCTTGTGCTCAATGGCAGTGGAAACGAGAAAGTACGCAAGGTATACAGTCACAAACCAGTATTGGTTTGTGACCGTAGACCTCGCCTACTCTCACTTGCAACACATGTGACGTTCTTAACGTTTAGAATGGAAGGCACTTTTAGAAAATGGTTCAACCTTTGTAAATCTAAGAACGGCCTGAACCCGCCATCTTTCTTTGGTACAAAAAAATAAACTGAAAAGAACCGCCCCGGGTGAACAGTGGGGTCGACCATCTCTATGGCGCCCTTGTTCAACAACAACTGAACTTCTTTTGCCAAGGCCTCTGCCTTCCTTAGATCGTTCATTACAGTTTGCCGCACTCCTCAGTGTATTGGCGGTCGCTGGCGGAATTGCAGGTGGTACCCTGTTGCGAGGGTTGTAAGAAAACAATGGTTGGGTGTTATTGCACTCCAATGCGCTAACTGGCTGTATGTAAAAACTCCTGCCGCCAGGCCCGGCCTGTCAGTACATCTGTTTCCATCTTTTGGTAGGATTGGGGGGGAGGGGAGACGATGGCAGGGAAGGTCCGAACGTCGGGAAGGATTAATGCTCTCATGTGGCAGTGTGCCGTCATGTCTGTTGGAGGCAGTTGGGGGATTGGGCGCCCGCTGCTGAGGGCGATGTGTCCAGGTCTTAGGGCCATGTGCCTGCGACGTGAGACAGCATGGTTGGGTGGAGCTCTGAAGACAAGTACTACAGCCACGTGGTGGCAACGAGACTCCGTAACAGACACACGTCTCTCCAGGGCCTCTTGCGCTGCTGGTCCAAAAACCTGCCCAGGTGCCAGTTAAGATACCTCAGATTGATCCTGCAATTTTCAGGCAGGGGTGATTGAGCCAGCCACACCTGTCGGTGGGCCTGCACCAAGGTGTCCAAAGTTGTGCCACACTGGTTCGCGATGACACCCATGGCTTGCAATGCGAGTAAGCACAGGAGAGCAGCTCATCTGTGCTGCGGCACTCAATATTAGGGCAATGCACACATTCACGAAGTGCCTCGTCAGGAGACACAATGAGTGAACTGACACTTGACTCTATCACTGGCATGCTCCTTAGGCTGACCTCATTCGGGTTCTGCATTGTTGCCAGAATGCGAGACATTTGGTCAGGGCATGCGGATGTTGCAGCAGCCCTCAAAGCTGAGGTAACAACCGAAGTGAAGTCACGACACTGTGGAATTACCAGAATGGTGCGCTGAGCAGGGAGAAGAAACATGTTCTCTGAGCCTATAGGAGGCACTAGGGTGTCCAACTGTAAAAGTGCCAGCAAGGCCTTCCAAGAGTCTTCCAAGGCTACATCACTGCCTGAGTTATAGGGCTCATCGCCACTCATCGTCATTTGGTTGTTGTGATGGGGGAGGAAGCCTGATTGAAGAGGGTGTCAGAGGCAGCCACAGACATCACATCATCTCGGTCAAGAGGCTGAGAATGTGAGTTATAAGGTGACAAGGATGCATACAGTGCAGGCTGCTCCACTTGCTTGCGCCACTGCTGTGGAGGGAGGCCTCACAAGCTCCAACTCAGTCGATTTAGACCTCTTGCGCTTTTTTGCAGGCACAGGTGAACGGTTGCACTTACTCTGCGTCTGAATGTCAGTAAGTTTAAAAAAAACTGCCAGATGTACGTCCCATATCTGCCAGACATCTTATCGTTAGCGACATCATAGGACATGCAGGGCAAGGATCGGACATTGCCTCCTGAAGGTGCTGTATACCGAGTGCACCGGTTGTGGCATTTATTAGTGATGGGAAGACCGACTCTTTTTATTGATTCGAATCTTTGATTCTCGAACAGTAAAATGAACGAGTCTTGAACTAATCATTTCATTTGTTTTACAGCAGGTGGCGCTTTAGCCCTATTGTGGGCGCTGTAAAGAAGGCTGCGGTTCTCCGACACTAAATAAGGCAATATGGGTTGCTTCCGCTGACAAAGTCTACAAAGTACACAAAATGCCATAAGTAATTAAAACCATGTGAAAAGCTAAGAAATAAAAACACACCACAATGTGAAGATAAATGAGAGCAAAAAAGGCCTGAGCTCTTTCACGTGACAAATGAAACGAATCTGCAAGAACGAGGCGAAAGATTAGTTCACAGAGAATGATCCGTTCATAATGATTAGTTCACAGCAAAAGATTAGTTCATGGCGAAAGATTAGTTCACGATGAAAGATTAGTTCATAGAGAGTGATTCGTTTGCAGTGATAGATTAGTTCACAGTGATCCGTTTGCAATGAAAGATTAGTTCATAGAGAGTGATTCGTTTGCAGTGATAGATTAGTTCACAGTGAAAGATTAGTTCACAGTGAAAGATTAGTTCACAGAGAATGATTAGTTTACGGGGAAAGATTAGTTCACAGAGAATGATTCGTTCAGAGCGAAAGATTACTTCACAGCAAAAGATTAGTTCACGATGAAAGATTAGTTCACAGCGAAAGATTAGTTCACGATGAAAGATTAGTTCACAGCGAAAGATTGGTTTACAGCGAAAGATTAGTTTACAGCGAAAGATTAGTTCACGATGAAAGATTAGTTCACAGCGAAAGATTAGTTCACGATGAAAGATTAGTTCATAGAGAGTGATTCGTTTGCAGTGATAGATTAGTTCACAGTGATCCGTTTGCAATGAAAGATTAGTTCATAGAGAGTGATTCGTTTGCAGTGATAGATTAGTTCACAGTGAAAGATTAGTTTGCAGAGTAATTACATCGTAGTGAAAGATTAGTTTGCAGAGTAATTAGATTGTAGTGAAAGATTAGTTTGCAGAGAGTGATTTGTTCGCAGTGAGTGATTAGTTCGCGGAGTGTGATTAGTTTGCAGTGAGTGATTCGTGAGTTCAATATGAATAAATATTTAATGACTCGGTAGTCACGAGTCACAAATCTTTCATATGACTCGGGAGTCACGACTCATATGAAAGATTCGTTCATTTTGAACGAATCCTTCGCGAACGACACATCACTAGTATTTATTAACACCCAAATAATACAGCGTGTTAATGTAAATATCACAGTGGCATGTACGAATGTGTGTCTTTTGTGAACATAATTTGAATAACAATTTACATTAAAAATCATGTTTTACTATTGTTTAGATTATACAAATATATAAAAATAGTTTGTACATGTACATAGAATATACTGATAATTATATGGACTGTGGTCAAGGATTTACGTTTGCATTGTGTACATTTGTCATGTATGCACATGACGTAAGTACATTCTGATATATTTAAATTTTATTGACATTGAACATATGAATTAAATAAAAGTATAATGTAATTACCCGAAATAAAGTGTTCAGAACAGACGTAATGCCTTTTGCTTGGATATAGGTTGAAATTAGCAATGTTGCCACACAAGATGGCGGACTATGGAACTATGGGTAGTAGCGTGACATCATCGGAAAACTATCAGTTATTTTAAAGTTTTTTTAAATGACCCAACTACATTTTTTATTTATAACATTATTCTAAATATATACATAGAACACAGTACAGTAGAGCTTCAAGATACGAGCACCCCGAAATACAGGTTTTCCAAGTTACAAGTCCATTTTTCCACTTGATGCTGTCACGCTTGGTTATTTTACCTGCCGCTTTATTTCTCTCTTT